GTTGTAAAAAACGAGGTATCATTTTAAGGGTGAAAAAGGATAGAACTAGAGCATGGTTGGAAATCATTGTGTTAATACTAGCGTGAGCACAAAAGGAGAAAAGGGCATAAGGCACTGACCTTGGGGGCTGGGCTGCCCAGATCCCCCCAGTCCCTGCCTTCTCTTCTGCAAGGGGCATGCCTGGTACTGCAGAGACTGCTCTGTAAGCCAGGACATAGCCCTGATGAGCTGTTCCAATCAGATTCTCCCTCATGAATTTGAGTAGGAAGCCTCTGGAGTCAGTCAGTGCCAGGAGCTCAAATGAAGATGTCATGAGGTACAGTTGTATCCATACATGTATAGAAGCAGAAATTATCAAGAAATGAACTAAGAATAGTCATAGTGACCTTTGATTTAGCACTTACCATGTGTCAATAATTTTACTTTAAGGAGTAGACATTTTATGAGTTAGGGAGCCAATCAGAAGATTAGGTAACCTGCCTAAGGCTCCAAACCTAGGTCTGACAAGCTGTAAAGACAGTGCTCACCAGAAATGACCATTCTATCCAGCCTCAAGAACTGTGGGGAAAAATAACTTGTTTATAAGTCATCCAGTTTCTGGTTATTTGTTCTAACAGCCTGAGTGGACTAAGGCAAGCACTGTCCTTTCTAGTATTTCCTTCTAGATGTTCATCTTTAGGTCTGTAACTTTTACTAATTTCAACTAAGTTAAGGGAACTTGGGAAATCATTAAGAGTCTCCTGCTTCTTTATAGGACATGGCTCAACAATAAAGAAATACTTCAGATCTGTGTTCAGAAATGTCATGTAAATAAATGTACAGATTAAAGATATATGTTGTAATACAAGATGGAATGTTTTGGCAAAGCCTTATTGACGGGACCAGTGGAAAGCTTCTGTAAACCAATTACATCACTGTGCCTCAATTTTAAAGTATGGCCAACAAGAAATCTAATGTTAAAAACTGGAGTGGCTGGGTGTAGTGGCTCATGCCTGTAATCCCAGCACTTTGGGAGGCCGAGGAGGGTGGATCACCTGAGGTCAGGAGTACAAGACCAGCCTGACCAATATGGTCAAAGATCTCTAATAAAATCACAAAAAATTAGTGGGGGGTGGTGGCACGCGCCTGTAATCCCAGCTACTTGGGAGGCTGGGGCAGGAGAAGCGCTTGAACCTGGGAGGCAGTGAGCCGAGATTGCACCACTGCACTCCATCCTGGGCAAGAGACTGAGACTCCATCTCCAAAAAAAAAAAAAAAAAAAAATTCTATTTAAGGTGGGTTTCAGGGCAACTTAGGAAGTATAGTTATAAGACTAAAATGTGTAATTGATGAAGGTATTTTACTTAAAGTAGCATAATGAACATTTAAAACTATTTTAGCATCAAATTTAAAGGCTAAGTAACTTTATCAGTCATAGATACTATTTTTTGAAACGGAGTCTTACTCTGTCACCCAGGCTGAAGTGCAGTGGTGCAATCTGAGCTCATTACAATCTCTGCCTCTTGGGTTCAAGTGATTCTTCTGCCTCTGCCTCTCCAGTAGCTGGGATTACAGGCACAGACCAGCATGCCCAGCTAATTTTGTATTTTTTTAGAGATGGGGTTTCACCAGGTTGGCCAGGCTGGTCTTGATGTCAGGTGATCTGCCTGCCTCGGCCTCCCAAAGAGCTGGGATTACAGACATGAGCCACTATGCCCAGCCAACAATTTTAAAAATACAAGAATTACTAGATACAGCATCATTTTTATCATTGCCTGAAGGAAACCTTACATTCTCCTAAACAATAACCCAACACTCCTTATATTGTACCTATATTGTACCATACAGAAACCTTCCGTATTACATTACACATTGCACATATTATTGTCGCCGACATGCTAAGAACAGAAACCAAGGTTTGTAATTTTTAATACTCCCTCTGCTGCACACAACAGAAACTTGGATACTGCTTACCATATGACTCCAGTATAGACGGAAGAGTTTCAATATAATCTTTTAGTAATAAATTGATAGCTAAAAAGGGAACACATTAATTCCAAATTAATTTGTTCTACAAACGTTTATTGATGGCCCAATTTACACCAGCCCTGTGCTGAGCACAGGAACCAGGAAGATAGAGGAGCCCTGCTGTGTGCTCTCCACAAGCTCACTCCCAAGTGGTGGTCATTCCACCTGTAGTCCATGGACCTGTGGAGGCCTTCCAGATGATCCAAGTTAGCAAGGAACAGCTAAGTCTTGCACAGATCTATATTACTCCGTGTTTCAAATGTATGCCAATGCTACAGTGATTAATATGCACATTTCTTTGAAAACAATACTGAATTCCTATTAGCTATTGGTCACTGTGATCTTCTCAGTCAGGAGATACCAATTGAGGGGGTTTTAAACAATTTATACATTAAAATATTTATACATGCTTGAAAACATTGGAAATATCTGATGTAAAAGCTTTAAGAAAATAGAAAGTTTAATAGAAACCAAGAAAGCATTTTGGAAAAAAAGACCGTTTTCAGACTCTTTAAGGAATTACTAGCACCTCTAATCTGTACCTCAGGTACAAATATATTTCCCAAGTTTGCAAAGGACATAAAATACGACTTTCACTTTTATACAAAGAGGATCATTACAAACCACCACATTTATAGTGAGTACAAATATTGACCAAGAACCAATTTTTATTTTTTAAAGTTAGGACTTGTCAAAATTTTCTCTCCAAGGACCTTTTAGTCCTAGAGCAGAGACTCCCTCAGCCCCTAAAATGTTGAGCCAAGAGACCCAAAGGGTGACAATTGTTTTTAGTCGTCTCCCATGTGAATTTTGTATTCTGTTCTGTAATATTTACTTGCTTTTTTAAAAAAGTGATCTTTTAAATTAACTGTTTCCCAAAAACTTTCTAGAAAAAAAAAATCAACATTCCAATACAGGTCTTATTTAAGAAGTGGGGCTATAGACTGGATGCAGTGTCTCACACCTGTAATCCCAGCACTTTGGGAGGCCACGGTGGCAGGATTGTTTGAGCCCAAGAGTTCAAGACCAGTCAAGCCAACAAAGTGGGACCCTGCCTCTACAAAAGTTTATTTTTTTAAATGGAGTCTCACTCTGTCGTCCAGGCTAGAGTGCAGTATAGCATGATCTCAGCTCACTGCAACGTCTGCCACCAGGGTTCAAGCAATTCTCCTGCCTCAGCCTCCTGAGTAGCTGGGATTACAGGTGCCCGCCACCATGCCTGGCTCATTTTTGTATTTTTAGTAGAGACAGGGTTTCACCATGTTAGCCAGGCTGGTCTTAAACTCCTGACCTCAGGTGATCCACCTGCCTCAGCCTCCCAAAGTGCTGGGATTGCAGGTGTAAGCCACTGTGCCCAGCCACACAAATGTTTTTTAAAAATTAGCTGGGTGTTGTGGCACTCAGGAGGCTGAGGTAGGAGGATCGCTTGAGCTCAGGAGGTGGAGGCTGCAGTGATCATACCATTGCACTCTAGCCTAGTCAACAGCAAGACCCTGTTTCCAAAAAAAATAAAAAAAAAAAGGCTGTAGAAGGTGATTCCCACATATACATAATAAAACATAACTTTTCAATGGTTTATTATATGTGTAGGCAGGAAATGGGAGCAACACCTAGGGTTCCCCTAAGAATGTGGAATTCTTGAGTTTTAAACTGTAAGAAACAATGGAGCAGAGCAGAAGCAATCATATGTATATAGGCAGAATGGAGCCCAGGTGAGCTCAGCTGAAACAAGGCTGGAGTAATGACGTATCTAATGGATGTTCCAATCAGAAGCTGATGTGGAGAAACAACTACTGGCAGAGAATCTCTGGCACCTTCCAGGGGAAGAGGGCACCCTGGTCCACAAACATGAATATCACAGCAGATATATCCACAAAGGGACATGGGTGCATGAGGCAACTTGCTTCCCTTGCTGAGAATCCACGTTCACCAGCTGATCATAATCTGGCTTCCCAGAAGATTTGCCTAAAGGGAGAGAATAATTGATAGTTACATTTCTCATTGTAAATTAAAATGTTGAGTATCAGTTACTATAAGCTTGATTAATGTGGGTTTGCCATGATAGTTCCACTCTCTATGTACTGAAACACTGGGCCTGAGTTTTTAAGTACGTATTAGTTTATCAGACTTTCTGTACACAATAAATATTGGCCAAGGTCTGGCCATCTCACAAGAGTGACCAGTTGACCATATTAGTCTACTACCCTCAGACCTCTATGCCCACACTGTCCAACATAGTAGCCACTAGCCACATGTGAATATTGGGTGCCTGAGACATGACTAGTCCAAACAAATTGAGATGTGCTATAAGTACATAATATACACTGGATTTCAAAGACTTAGTACCCCCAAAAAGAATGTAAAACATCTCATTGTTTTTATATTAACATTTTAAAATGATACAATATTTTGGATGTATTGGAATAAGATGTTACTAAAATTAATTCCATGTTTTCTAAATGTGGCTACTAGAAAGCTGAAAATTATGTGGCTTGCATTCTGTTTCTGTTGGACATCATCACTCTTCTGTACAAGTAATATGTTAATGTGTTTGACTTATAAGCTTGCACCATATCCCTTCTAATGAATTGGATCTGGGAAGATATAGGAACGGCAAAGAGGTACCTTTCTTGCATTGATATCAATCAAGTAGAATGGAGTGGCCTTTTCTTATTACTTTAAAAAGGCCAATGATTGACAGAAATAAGTACAAGTAGTATTTTAGTACTTGCAACAGTTGCTGATGTCTAATGCAGTTCACCATTGTGGGAACAAAAGGCCTGGTTCAAAGCTGACCTCTCCCCTGTGTTAGTCAAGACTCCACCCTAACTGGGCTTCAACTTACTCTCTTGCAAGGTGAGACGATAGCAGAGAAGCTCGGACTGAGTAAACATCTGAGGAGTGAGTGCAAGAGCCAAGAAGCTAACTTTGACATCCTTGTAATTTAGCATTGTGTTTTCCAGAGGATTGAGTTATAAGGTAAATATCAAAGATAAATGTGAAAAGATAGGTTTTTATTCATCAAAAGTTAACAGCAACAGGCACATATTAAAATGAGTATGGCAAAGCCTTTTACAAATGGCTTTACACTCAAGCTTTCTCCCAAGAAAATGGCTGTTGCAACAAACTGTAAACATAATTAATAAACAGTCTTTTACAGTAACAAGGGAATTACAAATGAACTAAAAGAAAGCACCGGTTTCTCTTAAAACTAGATTACAGTTGTGCTTACCATACATAAAACAAATTAAAACAAATTACAAAAGTGGAATGTTTGAAGTTTAAAATTAGTCCTTATAGTTTGTCCTAGAAAACATCTGTTCACATCAAAAGGCCCGTCAAAGGGTAACGTTTCATCAAAGGGAGGGACAAGAAAACAATGCACTTTTTTTCAAATCAAAACGAGAAGTTTGGTCACTTAGCTTTGTGCATAGTTTAAGGCAACTGGAGCAATCTGTTACAGCTTACCTACCGACCTTCCCCTCCCCCAAGTGTGGCTGCTCACATGTCACATTCTAAAATAATAAATAAAAGCTTACATTTCAATCTTTTCCCACATGGAGAAACATAACATGCACAGTCACACATGCACAAACATGCACGCAAACACACATCCATACATTCACACACAACATACCTCTCACTCACTGCAGCGAAAGGGACTTTAGTACCCTTGATCTGAAGGACACACTTCCCCATCCCACTTTTATTTCAGATTGGCAAATACCCTGAGCTGATTATGGTGTTTTAAACATTCCACCTTTTTCTTGCATGTGCAGGTCAAGTGTACAGTAGTGAAAACAACATGCAATGTCTTCACTGCAGGATCATAATACAGCTAGGACATTGGTGTTCTTCCCCTCCCCGCCCCAAATTAAAAACTAATTGTTAAAAAAAAATTGCATTGCCAAACAGCACTGGAGTGAAAGCTTGGCAGTACTCTATGATAAATGCTCAGTTTCCAGTGCACAAAATAAAACTATAGCAAATGGGAGGTTTTGGTGGCATCCAAAGAAGAAAAAAGGCAAACCAGGGGGAAAGAGCTGCAGTCTAAAGTTTGATCTTTAAATTTGTTTTAGTGGTTCCTTCACAATCATGCTCCAAGGCAATTTAGAACCGATATTTTCAGAGTTGATTTGTAAACATTGTCTTGCCAGAGGCAGCAGAGACTGGGCACTTCACATTTCCATTTTCTCAGAGAGAACTTAGTGGAAGGTACAAGATACACACTGTTGCATCAGACTGGTTAAATTCCAAGAGATTGTTGTTGAACAATTCAAGTTTCACGTTTTGAAGATTAGATGCTTTGAAAAAGTCGTGGCACACCTCAAAACTTCCTTTGTTACTCCTTTCGGATTCTCTCCTTCTGGGCTTGGCATATTCAAAGTTTCACATGAAAGCCAAATTCATATTGCTGTATGTTCAGGTCTTATAATTAATAAGTGGGTTCAAATGATCCAAAAGAGGAAATCTTGGAAATAAATAATGCTGGCTGGCATCACTCACTTGGAAACCTTGGCAGTCAAGAGTAAGTTTTCTCACCTCAAGACCCCATTTCACATTTCTAAAAACCTCCAGGAGGCAGTTTGTCACACTGGTTCTGGGGGTTATGATAACCGATTTTCCTGAGGTAATAACTGTGAGTTCGACTCAAATGCAGCATCAGTGTCCTCACTGCTGGACTGTTCTCTCTGCAGTCCCTTCCAGCTGGCTTTATTCAGCCCCACATGTCCAAGCATTGTCTGGGATAGCCTTGTATCGGAAAATCTGGCCCATTCTGTAAATAAAGGCTCCACTAAGTAAGTCATAAAACCTTGAGAAAATAAATAGGAGAAAAAGTTATTAGCATATGTGCTGAAACTCTATCTTTAAAACAACATCTATATAGTGTGAATTAACCTTCCTATGTCCTACTCCAGCATTACCTAAATCTTATTTTTCAAAAGATTCCTGTGTGTGTGTAGGTGACAGGGTCTATAATGTACGTATCTGCTTTGAAGAACTGATTTCTTAAGTAACTCAATGGAACCTTAAGTAAAAGTGAACTGATAAACATATCAAATCTTTTCCCGTTACCCTTCTCAGTGGCACAATTACATTCTTCTACTTAAGCAAACATACACTGCCATATCAACTCTGAGGATACCAGGGCGGGCATAACCCCACTTGAGGCAGAGCTGCAGTGTAACAACTGGAGGCTAAGAAGGGGTCTCCTCCAGGACTGTCGGTGACGGGGCCTGAACTGAAGTGGAGCTGGTGGTAGTCTACTGCTTTACCTCTCAGGGATGGAATCTTGATGCCTGATCATGATTACAATTGGTCATTTTATTTAACTCAGAATTTATAAAGCAAAACCTTACGATAAGACTCACTCTAGGCCAGGAGCAGTGGCTCACGCCTGTAATCCCAGCACTTTGGGAGGCTAGGGCAGGCGGATCACAAGGTCAGGAGTTTGAGATCAGCCTGGCCAACATGGTGAAACCCCGTCTCTACTAAAAATATAAAAAATTAGCCAGGCATGGTGGTGTGTTTCTGTAATCCCAGCTACTCTGGAGGCTGAGGCAGGAGAATTGCTTGAACCTGGGAGGTAGAGGCTGTGGTGAGCGAAGATTACACTATTGCACACCAGCCTGGGTGACCGAGCAAGACTTAGTCTCA